GGAGGAGAAGAGCGAGGGAGGCAGGGAGGACAGGACGGGGGGAGGGGGAGAAGTCATAAATGAAGCTGCACGCAGCCGCCAAAATGCACCACTGTGAAGAAGAAACGAATCAATATAAATTCCGCATGCACAAAATGTCCAAAGATATTGTTAAAAATAGAGGTTCTAATGATTCAAACAACAAACTTGCTCTCCAGTACTACTTTCCAGCAGATGCCACTGATGTTCTGTCTTTGTCACCCCCTTCGCCGATGCCTTATCAGCCTTCATTGTTGTGTTTGCAACTGAATCCCTACTCCCACAAGCAGTGCCATTTCTCTGCTGCTGCTGCTCCTATGGCTGCTGCTGATTCTGCTGCAACCCTCCACCTCAATCAGCACTGCCATTCCCCCCCAACCCCCCCCCTCCCCCCTCTAAACGCTGATCCTCCCCTGCGCTCAACAGCAAGAGAATCCCCTGTCTGTCTTCGTACATATTACAGAAGGCTCGAACGCCAAAACGAAAGAGCAAAAGGAAGTGCAATGCTAATTGCAAGACACTTATGTTGTTGTTCCACACCTGAAACACTTACCTGCCGTTCTCTCCCCATCACCTGTCACTTCATCCCGCATTCTCTCCTTTGTTGCCGCGAATCGAACCATGCCTTCCACCATTCCATTGGCTTCGACGAAAACTGCAAATAGTTGCATATCTAGATACTATACGCAGATTTAAGTATTGCTTCAAGTGGCACGATCATCACCGTACAGAAGATTTTCCTCCTAACGCTCCTCGGTAGATTCTTCCGCCATTCATAAGTTAACTAACACCTCGCCAAATGGACATGTAGAGCTCGACATCGCAGACCTTGATAGCAAACAACCAATCCTCCTCCGATGAAGTAGTGCAAACATTCCTTCTGATAGCTGGCATTAAACTACTACCTCCCTCACAAGGCACTGATTCAACGGCATGGGACCTCTCCAGATCCCTCACCTGCCCTTGGAAGAGCCACAACAAATGCATTGGGCAGAGGCACTTCCCCAGACAGCAGAAGGCGTCACAGTTCTCCGCCCCTATCACCACACCACCGACGAATGCAAGCACCCACACACACACACACACACACACACACACACACAGACTCGCGCGCTTGCACACACATACACCCACACAGGTGGACAGTCTGCCGGCTCTCTCTCCCTCTCTCCCTCTCTCACTCACTC